TGCAGCATCCAGAAATGGACTTCTCAGGGGCTAAGATTTGCTGACGAGGTGGGAGCTTTATGGAACAATCTTGGAGGATATAACCACTTTGGACAATCTTCTTAGACTTGTGTCCGGCTTATATTTGGTCATTTCTGGTCGACCCCTTCTGTCGAAATGATGTGCTCACAATCTTGATGGTAGGGGCTATGCGGTGTGAAAACTTGGTTGACCTCTTCAACGTAACACATTTTATTTCCTTTAGCTGCCCCCAAAAACATTTCAGTTGAGGATGAATATCATGTGATGTTACGTTAAAAAACTACTCGAATGTAAATTTCTCACAATGCATGATTTAAATTTGCTTTTAAACGATATTACAAATCAACTATTTTCATGAATTAAACAAGTTTAACTTGTATCATTTTAGATATATCGTCTTTTGTAATTTTTTATAATTTAGATTTTTTTAAAAAATTAATTTAAGCATAATAAAAATGATGGGTAATTTTTGAAGTACATTCAACCGCCAGTTAAATAAATGTTACGTTGAACTGAACAAAATATTGACCCATCGAATATTCCGTGGTGTATTTCAATTAATTCATAAAAATATGATTTCATTTTCCATCATAGGAGTAGTTTTTCTTGGGCGAAGTCATGAATTCAATAATGAATTGGCGGCCACACAAAATTCTTGAAACGACAGATTTGAGGGAAGAAGAAACAAACCCTCTTCTATAATTGGGGTGGACCATATATAAAACTACGTCGTCGTGCCCTTTATCGAACCCGCACCATTCGTGTCTTCAGATTAGTAGCATTTCTCATGCATGCTTGGAATTTTACTATTAATTTTTTATGGCGGGTAAAAATGATTTTTATGATTCAATTTTTATCACTAATTGCCATTTCTTGTCACATTTTTCGACTTTTTTTCACGTCATATTCTTCGGTAGTCGAACTAGATTTTTGGTATCATTTTCAAAATATTTATGGCAAATTTTGCAACGCTTATTTCATATTGGAAAATCGTAAAATATTGAGTTCAAAATAACAAGTCAAATAAAACTGTTAAAACTAGATTTAATAATCCGATTTTGTTTATATTTTTAGACGTCGGTTTAATTAAAATTCTATATGATGTTAATTTGACTCTTTTTGCTGGTATGATTATATACACAAATAATATATTATTTCTTCCAGTTGATCTATGAATCATTATCTTAAAAGAAATTGAAATAGAGACCCTGTTTGGTACACATTATTTTTTTCATTCTCATTCTTCTACTCATTTTCAACCACATATTTTTCAATAAAATAATATTTTCCATCACATCAATAACTTTTCCTTCATTTTTAACGACACATTATAAATCAATCTACTATTCAATAATACATTAATTCAAAAGAATGTGTCCCAAGCACACTGGAAGGGAGTGTTTGGTACACATTATNGTGTCACAAACGTCGCTAAAATTGCATAACTTTGGATGGCTGAAATTAATAAATGCTTCAACAAAATGATTTATGCTATTATTGTGTATATGTAATGATTACATACTTTCTATCTTGTGTGCTTTGAACTAGAGACAAAAATTAGTGTCCTATCAATCTTTTCTTAACTTATAAATGTCATTTGCATTGGCCTAAATAGTCAAAATGTTAATGATAGAGAATGGTTTTGTTACTTGATATTAAAGAATGGTTTATTGTGCTTTCTTGTCTTATATGTTACACTTATTTTACTTGAATAACCCCAAATAAATTAAGCCCCTGTTTGGCCCCCATTATATTATATTACATTCCATTACATTAATTTTTTCTCTCTCTTCATCTCAACCATACATTCATCAAATAAAATAATAATACACAAAAATCAAAAACTTTTCAACCACACATCTCCCATCAATCACTATTCTAAAAATTATTTACCCCCCAAAAATTTAATTTAATGGGGGGCAAACAGGGGCTAAATTAGTTTTTCATTAAATTTGACATTGTATGATGTGTAGAAAATTTATTCATCAAATAAAATAATAATACACACAAATCAAATACTTTTCTACCACACATCTCCCATCAATCACTATTCTAAAAATTATTTACCCCCATATATTTAATTTAATGGGGGGCGAACAGGGGCTAAGATAGTTACAAGTATGGGTTGATGAAATGATAGATGGGTGTGATTTTTTTGAAAATGGTTGATTTCGATTTTCAAACCGCCTTAAAGATATATTTCATGGGTCTGATCCAGCATTGCCTCGTCATGAATAGTGAACGGGACAAGGAACTCGATCCCTATCCCGAATTCATCGAGCCCATCTTGAATTTTTATTTTAAGATATTTTCATTTCATTTTCATATTTTTATTTTAAATCATAAAAATAAAATTTAATTTATTAAATGGCATGGAAATGAGAATTTTCTAATCCTTCACTTCTTGCCTCCGGAAAATTCCCTACATGATGACAATCGTAATAGTTGCTTTGGTTCCATACCACCCCATTGCCATCCCTATTCGTGAATTACAACATTTTTCTAATCTTCTAATATATAATAAACTTGCACTAAAAGTTGAAGTGGTTATTAGCTTATATATAACCAATCAATCCTAAAATTTATAAATTGTTTTCCGACTTTAATATAATTTAGTGTTCTTCCGGTATTAAATTTTGAGAAAACTTATCAATTACAGCATCATAGAGAAATCCCCATGTTTTTATTGAGGTTGGATGGAGCATCTCTTGAGGTACTGTCATTTTTCTCGTCTATACAAGATCCTATAATTATCTCAAACGCTATTTAACACTTTAAAAGTGTAAGCGTTAGATGTAAATTTTCACGTCGCTTAAATATGAAGGCATTAATCAATATATAAGGACTTGAGCTACACTTATTAATAAGATTAATCATTTAAGATAGAATTTTAAAGCTCAACATTATATCATAATTTAAAGAAAACTCAAACAAACAATATGATCCATTTAAAGGGTAAAAATCGAGCCATCATCTTGCAAGTCAATAAAGTGCAAGCACCCGCCCCCAGGGCACATCTCCAAGTGGTAAAAGGGGAAGGTGGAAAAACTCCAACTTTGCTTGAGGCTGCCGCGTCAAGGGTTCGAATTCTGAAATATGGAGTTGGCCATTGGGTAAGTGCAAGTGTACAAGCAGTCTTCCACCTTGTACCCTTGAATGCATAACCTGCGATTTACCTCCTTCACCAAGTCCAGGGCAGGGCAGGTGGGGACCGCCAAGGATACGGTTCATCCATTTTTTTAATAAAGTGCAAGCACCCTCACAATGCTTAAATATGGAAATAATAATTCATATATAAGAATTTACACTGCTTACTTTCACGTGACTTTTTAAGATGAAATTCCAAAAATCAATAATTAGAACAATTTACGTGGATTTGGAGCTAATAAAAAAAATCAGATTTGATACATAAAAAAATGGTTGCAACTAAGTGATTAGGTTTTGTAATGCAGTATTTAGTGTTGATTTTATATGTAGCTCCAGTTTGATATAGCTAAAAATCATATGTTTAATAATTTTAATAAAAGTTCATTAAATGTGTGGTGTAAAAGTTGATAAAAGTTGTGATTTTTTTAAACGATGTAATTAAAATTTATCATTAACTTTAACTTAAATTTTTAAAAAAACAAGGGCATAGACATCAAAATATTCACATACAAAATATAAATTTCATAAGGGATAAATATGATATTAACAATTTTGGAATTTCACTTTTTCATTTCTTGGCGTTTTCAAGTCAATTAACGATCCAAATTCGAATTGGTTCCTGGTCCTGGTCCCTTTGAATAAGAACAAATTTGGTACATTAAATTAGAAATACATAACGACAAACTGGCCAATCATCAAAATTTATTGTCTGTTCAAATTTTTGCTATAAATATAGGGATCTAAACGAACTTTGTCCATCAATAATAAGTGACCATTTTTTATTTACTTGTCAAATTGCAAGATGGGACTTGTCATTGAAAAGTATTCAGCTTTTCAGTAATTAACCTTATATAATTGCATAATTTTCCCATCATGCAACATTAGATTTTTATAAATATTTGTTAGTATGTCACAGTTTATTCATGAATTAAATACAATAATACAGATCTTATATTAATCGGCATTTAGGTTATTCGAAAAGAAATAATTCAGTCAATATGAGTTATTCAGAATATCAAAATAATTGTGACATGTGACCCGAAGAGACTCGTATTGGTGAGAATAAAATGTTCAATCCCTTACAGTCTGAGTCGTGTTTTGATAATTTCATCTGC